GTGGGTCAGGTGTGGATCGGGTGTGAGTCAGGTGTGGGTCAGGTGTGAGTCAGGTGTGGGTCAGGTGTGGATCGGGTGTGAGTCAGGTGTGGGTCAGGTGTGGATAAGTTGTGAGTCAGGTGTGGGTCAGGTGTGGATCGGGTTTGGATTGGGTGTGGGTCTGGTGTGAATCAGGTGTGGATCGGGTGTGGGTCAGGTGTGAATCAGGTGTGGATCGGGTGTGGGTCTGGTGTGAATCAGGTGTGGATCGGGTGTGAGTCAGGTGTGGGTCAGGTGTGGATAAGTTGTGAGTCAGGTGTGAATCAGGTGTGGATCGGGTGTGAGTCAGGTGTGGATCAGGTCTGGATCAGGTGTGGATCGGGTTTGGATCGGGTGTGGGTCTGGTGTGAATCAGGTGTGGATTGGGTGTGGGTCAGGTGTGGGTCAGGTCTGGATCAGGTGTGTCCTGGTTTAACTAACCTGATTAGCTGTGAACACACGGCTCGCTGCACGTTTATCTCAAAACTATGATAATCCAGGCAAGCTGCAACAAGGCAGTTGGTCTGGTCTGCCGTGGTGAAGGAGCTGAAACTCTCAGGATTTACTGCTCTCCTTTGTTCCTGCTTTCACCGTGGTCCTGAGGTTTGGATCGGGACTGAAAGAACCAGGTCCTGGATCCAAGTAGCTGACATGGTCTCCGTCCTTACGGGATTATTTTATTTATTATCATTTGTTGAATTATCTCGTGCGTTGTTCCCTTGCAGCTGTGTTGGCCAGATGTTTGTGTGGTGATGCCTCATGATCTCTGGACTGTTGAGAACATGAACAATGACCTCCCAGCTCCGTGCTCCGTGCTTCAGACAGATCAGCGCTCTCTGCTTCAGCTTTAGTTCTGGATGTGTGATCAGGCTGGATTAGATTAGCAGCTGGGATTATTGTTCTTAAAGGTTAATGTGATTTAAAATGGAATAAATGTGACTCTTTGCTTTCATCAGTGTTTCATTTGAGCTTTATTGTTTCCATACCGGAGAAGATTGAGCAGCAGATTCAGAATAAAATGGATTAAAATGTTTTAAGATTTATTTTCTGTAATCCGTGATGGATCCCTGAGGAAGTTCACTTGCAGGTGACCTGTTTGTTGTGCAGAGATATGTGGAGGTGTTTTTCTTCATGTGCTCGATGTTCTCGTTCACTCCTGTGGTCCTGTCCTCTCCAGACATCCGCGGCCTGCAGGGCTTCCTGGACCAGACGTCCCGTCAGGGGGTGGACGTGGCTCTGCAGAGGGTGGACAGGAACATCAGCAAGGTCTTCACCAACCTCTTCACCACCATGAGGACCGAGGAGCTCAACCGGTACCGGGACACGTTACGCCGAGCCTTCGTGCTGCTCAGCCCCCAGGGAGCGCACGTCTTCATCCAACAGGTCGGTCCTTCCTTCAGTCCCGCTGCACCCGTCCAGGTTTCTGAGCCCGCCTCCGATCCCGAGGGGTCTGAGAGGGTCAATACAAGCATCTGTGGAGCTTCCACAGAACCAGTTAATGAAAACATCGGTTGTGGGGGAGGGGAGAGTTTGAGTCGGAGGACTCGGTTCTCGTGGAGCAGAACGAGTTCTCGTGAGGAACAAACGAGTTTTCATCGTTAGAACGTGCTGAAAAGATCAGAGTGGATGGAGAACCTGAGAGGCCGAGGAGGAAAGAGCTGCAGACACAGGTGTGTGCGTGTGTGTGTGTGTGTGTGCGCGTGTGTGTTGGAAAACAGAAGCTCTTTGCTGAGTTTCAAGAGTCTCACGTGAGAAATCTGTCAGTTTGTTTGTCCATCGAATCAGTCCCCGTCCTTCCTGCTGAGCTCGGATCATTTGTTGCAGTGTGTGTGTGTGTGTGTGTGTGTGTGTGTGTGTGTGTGTGTGTGTGTGTGTGTGTGTGTGTGTGTGTGTGTGTGTGTTTCTGTGTGTGTGTGT